GCAGGTGCCCGGTTACAGAGGCCAGCCTCGCTCAGCTCTGAGGAGGTAGGTGTACAGGACCCCAGTACACACTGACATCACCACAGCCATCCTTTGCCCCATTCCGCATATACACCGCTCCCACCTCTACCAGACGGGGACCTGAGCACACGTCCCCTCCACTCCTTCCCCGGGCCCCGGTCACCAGCACTCCTCACACACCTGAACATTACGGCTCCCGTCTCTCCTCCCGGGAACAGGCTCTCTTCCTCGTCTCCGGGACTCCGGCCGCGTACCCGTCCAGTGAGAGGCGGCGGCGGGAGCGCGCCCGGCTGTGCGAGGACTGAGGCGCGCTCACGTGCCTGAGCACTGCTGGGGCTCACCTAGAGGGGGTGCTGCACATGGCTCCAGTGAGACATGGGGGGGGGCGAACCAGAGAAAATAGGTGGTCAGCAATGGCAGTACTTAACCACTTCAGCTCCAGAAGATTTTACCCCCTTCCGACCAAGCCATTTTTGCTATGCTGCACTCGGGCGGACTGACAACTCAAGGGGCCCCCGGGCAATAGGGGATCATGGGGCCCCTGTGTCCTTGCCCAAACTCAAAAAAAGCCTATGAAAAAGGTACCAGGGGCATCTCATGGGGCCCCCAACTGACCTCGGGCAGTGCCCAAGTTTCCAAATGGTCAGTCCGCCCCTGCCCCTTACTGACCCCGGGCCCTCGGGCTCTGCCCAGTTTCTAAATGCTCAGTCCTCCCCTGGCTGCGCTACTTTAGTCATCATGCCCATTGGGAGTTTTAAAAACTCCAGTGGTGTTAGCTGCAAGCCCCATTATTTTGGGGAGGGGTTTCAGGCATTTTACTACCACTTTAACTGGTAATTGCACAATCATGCAACACTGTATGCAGATGAAAATTCTCCTCCCCCCGTGTTTTCTTTTGGTGGTATTTGATCACCACTGGGTTTTTTTTATTATTTAAACAAAAAAAAATCATTGAAAAAAAGTAAAACATTTTTGCTCTGTTATAAAACATATCCAATAAAAAAAAAAATTAAAAAAAAAAATTTCTTCATGGCCAAAAATCGATTCTGCTACATGTCTTTGATTAAAAAAAATAAATCCCAATAAGTGTATATTAACCACTTGCCCTCCAGAGGAGTTACCCCCCGCAGTGGAGTGGAAATTTATGAAAACACTACTTGTCCAAGGGACTAAATCGGTGTCCCAATCTACTTGTCCCTCATGAAAATATACTTGTCCAGATTTTTTTTTTTTTTTTTTTTTTTTACACACCAAATCCGTATTTAAATAGAAGGCGATATTAGAAATGTTTTTAAACACAAAAAGAGCTTTTATTGTGACTTAAACATTTAACCATTTTAACATAGCACTGTTTATCTCCTCCTCCCCTCCCTGTCTCCAGGACCGCACTCAGGGACTAGCAGGGAGCAGAGAGACCTTGCAGTGTAATGAGCACCGATTGGCTGCTTGTCAGGAAAGGGGAATGTCAGGTTTATCCGTTATCCTTCTGCTGTCAGAGACTGTTTTTGCATATTTTGAACAAGATTGAAAAAAAAATCATTTTAGGCCTGAAGCTTACATAAAACTCCCAAACATTATATATTTTCTGAAATCAGAGACCCGAGAGAATAACTTAGTGGTAGTTTCAATTTTTTTTTTTGTTGCATAGTGCCGCAAAATCTCAGTAAAAAAATACAAGTTAGGGCAATTTATTACCTTTTTTGTGCCCTAAAATTAACTATTTTTTGTAAAATATAAAAGACAAGGTTGCAGCAAGAAAATAACTTGTCAAACCTTAAATTTGCATGAGCTCGTGAAATGGCGCCAAACATCAGTACCCTATATTTTCTATAGGTGAAGCTTTTAAAGCTCCTTCTAGGTCATCAGTTTAGCATTGCAGAGGAGGTCTGGTGCTAGTATTATAGCTCTCATTTTGGTGTGTGCCGCAATATGTAACATCTGTATTGCAATTGATTTTTTTTTTTGGGGGGGGGTAGGGGGGAGTGGGGATGTTATGTGCTTGGGTGTAACTAATTTTTTTACAATGAAAAGAAAACATTTTCTTCTTTTTTTTCCCATCACATAGGGGACAGCAAAAAAAAATCATCACATAGGGGACGCATGTCCCCTATGTGATTGGAAAAAAAAAAAAGTTGACAGGTTCTCTTGAGACATCCAAGGTCTAAGGCTACGTTCACACTAGTGCTGTGTGCAGGCGGCAGAGGAATTTGGGAAGCGTTTTTACCGCTTCCCAAACGCCTCTGACAATTCTGCACATTGCAGCACATGGTGCTGTTTTAACGGAAGCGCTAGCGTTGCGGCAAAATGGACCCCTCTGGTCGAGTCAGGAGGCATTGAAGCCTCCTATTCTAGTCTATGGTGCCGCTCCGCAAACGCCCGGCGTTTGCAGTGCGGTTGCGACGTGGCTGCAGAGCAGTAATACCATTCAAACTTCATTATAGGCGTTTGTGGGGCGTTTTTAACGCTCGGCAAGCGCCCAGCAACCGCCGCTAAACTGCGCATGCGGCGTTTGCCGAGCGTTAAAAAATGCTCCACAAACGCCAGACCAACGCTTGCCAAATGCTATAGGGGCGTTTGGCAAGCGTTGGTAAAACAGTCAAGTGTGAACGAGCCCTAAGAGACCCTGGCTGTCTCCCCTCTGCTCCCCTGAATGTAATTACATTCTTTCCCGGCCAAATATACTCTATAATGGTTGAAAAGTCGTCTGTCCAATACGGTCACCGCAGGCCGATTGGGCAGAGGATTAAACAAACACAGTAGCGTCTCTTTAGAGGCAGGAATTCGTAAATTGCAATTAAGCGCTTTAGAAACAGTCTAACATTTTCAGAAAGAAAGATTTATTACTAAAAGGAGTCAAACAGATGCAATAAAATATTTACAGAAAAAGATATAACTAAGATATATACATACATATATATATATATATATATATATATATATATATATATATATATATATATATATATATACATATACACATACACACACACACACACACACACACACACACACACATACATACATACATATACACACACACACACAAAGAACCATAGCACAGCAAAGAGATAACAGGGAGAAGTTAAAGGGTTAAGTTACTTGCCATTTAAGCCTTTGATGTAAGCAGATTCAAGCTGCAGAGCGAAAGGGTCTCCTCAGGTGGTATTGATGTTACAGATGGGAGATGTCTTCAACTTACTCTTTAGGCCTGCTAGCCTGTTTTTTAAAGTCCCCCAGCAGGGGGGTGGCTCTGAGTAACTGACCAATACTCTGTTTAGGGAGGGATCGTCGGGCGGAACTCTGAATTAGAACCAACATCTTTCCTAATCCATATTTTGGCCTATAACTTTCCAGCTGCACAAGCGACAATCTCTTTTGCGTGTATTTTAGTATGCAAATAAGTTTAAGGATCATGTAGATATGAATTATTAGATTGTAGGCCTCACGGTTCATGAGATCTAGGTTTCTGCTTCCCTGAGCGTGCGAAACGAATGGAGAGACCTATCAGAGCGTCCGTCTGTGCGTTGGCCATCTGACGAGGTGCCCGGTTTTTATGCAAGTCTTCCATATTTCAAGATATGAAACATAGGGGAAAAACGGACTTTGGGAATGTTCATTTAATTCTGTCACCTACGCTGCTAGGTTTTAGGAGGTTAAAATCTTTCAATTCCTGGGAAAAAGCTGCCTTATCTCTGTTGCGAGGTGAGAGATTCCACAGGTTCTTGGGCAGAGTGGCTCTGTCTCTCTTGGGAGGCTTTGTAGCTCTGGGCCCCCTGCTGCTCTAGCCTGCTAGTGACCCACAACCGGATGTCGCTGAGGCTGAACAGAGAGGGAAGGGGGGAGGATGCAGGAAAATATATTTCAGGATGGTTAGTCCCTTCGCTAAGATGGAGGGTGAAACCAAAATGGTTGAACTGCGTCCATCTCTGATGCGTGCTTTTGCGACAACCTGTACCGTGTGCAAGAGGCCTAATACAGTGTTCAGTGGCTGGGAAGGGGTTAACATCTAGGGGTAATTACAAGGTTAACTGTGTAGCCAACAAGTGTAAAGTGTGTACTGTATCTTGCTTTTACTTAGTCATGTGACCATTTTTACTTTGCATTACAGAGAGAAAAAAAACCTGCCACATTGCTGCTGTCTGTAAAGGGCTCTCTTCTGTCATTCGCTTGGCCAATCAGCGTGTCCCAGCCATAAGGCTAGGTCCACACCTATGCAGTTTACAGTTCACTGTTTCTGCAGTGTGTTTTGCGGTGCATTTTGCACATGCATTTTTGATGCAGTGGTTTTTTTTTTGGGGGGGGTAGGGGGTTGTCCAGCTTGATGCTGGGCAGAATAAAAATGCAAAACGCATCAAAAACGCACACAAAATACAGCACTTGTGGTTTATATGTGGTTCCATTGAAGTCTATTGAACCAAGGCTTGGTTAACATACACTATTTTGCCAAACGTATTGGGACGCCTGCCTTTGTACGCACATGAACTTTAATGGCATCCCAGTCTTAGTCCGTAGCGTTCAATATTGAGTTGGCCCACCCTTTGCAGCTATAACAGCTTCAACTCTTCTGGGAAGGCTGTCCACAAGGTTTAGAAGTGTCTATGGGAATGTTTGACCATTCTTCCAGAAGCGCATTTGTGAGGTCAGGCACTGATGTCAGATGAGAAGGCCTGGCTCGCAGTCTGCACTCTAATTCATCCCAAAGGTGTTCTGTCGGGTTGAGGTCAGGACTCTGTGCAGGCCAGACAAGTTCCTACACCTCAAACTTGCTCATCCATGTCTTTATGGACCTTGCTTTGTGCACTGGTGCGCAGTCATGTTGGAACAGGAAGGGGCCATCCACAAACTGTTCCCATAAAGTTGGGGGCATTAAATTGTCCAAAATGTCTTGGTATGCTGATGCCCTAAGAGTTCCCTTCACTGGAACTAAGGGGCCAAGCCAAACCCCTGAAAACCAATTCCACACCATAACCCCCCCCCACTAAACTTTACACAATGCAGTCAGGCAAGTACCGTTCTCCTGGCACCTGCCAAACCCAGACACATCTGTCGGATTGCCGGACAGAGAAGCGTGATTCATTCATCATTCCAGAGAACTCATCTCCACTGCTCGAGTCCAGTGGCTTTGCATTGCACTTGGTGATGTAAGGCTTGGATGTAGCTGCTCGGCCATGGAAACCCATCCCATGAAGCTCTCTATGTACTGTTGTTGTACTAATCTGAAGGCCACATGAAGTTTAGAGATCTTTAGCTATTGACTCGACTTCTGCACACTGTGTGCTTCAGCATGCGCTGACCCCGCTCTGTCATTTTACATGGCCTACCACTTTGTGGCAGAGTTGCTGTTGTTCCCAGTTGCTTCCACTTTGTTATAATACCACTAACTGTTGACCGCAGGATATTTAGTAGCAAAGAAATTTCATGAATGGACTTATTGCACAGGTGGCAACCTATCACGGTACCACAGTTGAATTCACTGAGCTCCTGAGAGCGACCAATTCTTTCACAAATGTTTGTAGAAGCAATCTACATGCCTAGGTGCTTGATATTATACATCTGTGGCCATTGAGGTGATTGGAATGCCTGAATCCAATGATTTGGAGGGGTGTCTCAATACTTTTGGCAATATAGTGTATATGCATTTTGCATTTGATGCTTTCCCCAGTGCTTTTTGCAGGTTATTTTGCGGTTTTCTTTGTGCATTTTTGATGCATTTTGTTCAGCTCTCTTTTGTTAGTGGAATTTTTTTTGTTGCTGGGCAGAATAAAAATGCAAACCGTGGCAAAAATGCACCACCATGCATTCAATAGCTTTTCCATTAAACTCTACTGTAGCAAAAATTCTTTTTGCTTTAAAAAAAAAAAAAAATTACCCTTTCCAAAGATGCAGCAGCTCAAAAAAGCATAGATTTGAACATGACCCATAGGAAATTGTTAAATGGCTTATAGTGCATTTCTGCAAAAGGCACTAAAACTAGAATACCTGTCAGTTTTTATTGCTGTCTATACCCCCTTTGAGGAGATTCACCCTCTCTAGATTTGTCCTGTTTACTGGTATCATCAAAAGTGAAAAAAGTCCCACGTTTGGGGTGCCCCCAGAACAGGCTAGTGAGTAGGCTCACTAGTTCTAGTGACAAGGGATTCCCTCAGTTTGGAGGGATTTCCTCTCACTTCCGGTTTTGGCTGTGAACAGGAAGTGAAATCTTCTCAATGGGACAGATGGCTAAAAGTAGGGGAGGGTTAGAACCCCCTCAGTTGTTAACAGAAAAAAAAAAGTTTGGCATTTACATAAGTGTTACCATCTGAAGAGAGGTCAACGGTGTATTGCTTTTTGGAGGCAGTGAGAAGGCAATATGCCACCTCCTCAACATCTGTTTAACACTTAAAAGCCCAAGCCACAATGCACACAGTTGCAGGGCAGTTGTCGCATGGCCCCATTCACTTGCAGTACCGCTTGCTGTACACAACATCGTATAATTCCTGCCACAAAGCAAAGCATTGCAACCATGGCAGGTATACAATACTCCATGCCATGGCCCCTAATTTTCTGAAATGGTGAAATGGTAAAGAGACACTTTTTAGCACACAGTATATAGCAAAGGACACCTCCCTAGAACAGACCCGGTTACATAAAAATCCAATATACAGAAAATGACTGGTCAAACCACATAAGTGCTTTTATGACCACTTTGTTATTTTGAAAAGCCAATATAATCTAGAGGTTGGATAACAGGACAGCACAACACTTTTGGTAGTAAAATGAAATATTTGTATATAATTACTTACCTATGACGTCACTACACACCCGGTGGACAGCGAGTACACTCTGTGTGCGGCGCACACAGCAAAGGATTTTGATTTTATCAAGTGCATGTTTTAAAATAATGTGTGAGTGCATTATCGGGCACACAATAAAGATTATCTGTAAAAAGGATAAGGCACTATATTCCTCTCTTTATAAACCCTGCTACAGAGGAAAATCCAGGATAGGGGAGAAGGAAGAGAAAGCAGCACTAGAAGGAGGGAGAGATCCCAACAGGGATACTGGCACATGAGGAGAGGATCACCAAGAAGCTCCTGAGGGATATCCATCCATTATCCATTAGAGGGTGCTACAAGTGTTCCTATTGTGAACAAAAAGCGTAGTAAGCCTATTAACTAGGCTTACAAGGAGGTGAGCGCATAGCACAATCATAATAAGGATTCACAGAAATTCACAAATTAGGTTTTGGATCACAATATCGGTTTCAGTTTAGGACTATCACTATATATTTATTCACAGAGACTTTTGTGTATTGCTTATATCATTTTTTTTTAGTACTTTTGAGTATTATCACAATTTCAGTTGCAGTATATGACACAGATGATTAATTTGTTTTATTTTCCATATTGATTGAAAATTTATATTTATTGAATTATGAATGTTTGAAATTTGATATTTAGCACAGTATTAGTTTATTATGAGATTGCAGTTTGATTATTAGCACACAAGAGATATCACCATTCTATTTATTTTGGAGCGCAGCATTTTTTGAATTTTATTTGACTTTTGGTAGTAAATTCGTTCATTTTGTTTTTTTTTTATAGAGCAATATGCATCAGACCAAAAAGAGGGACAACTGAGGCTGCGCGTGTGAGAGAGGGATTTGGGCTCAACAGAAGGACTTGGGAACTTCGAAACAACCCCCTCTCGCTGTCTTTGCAGCTTAAGGGGGTGGGGCGACATTGAGGCTCAACCACCCCTCCCCACCCACAACTGTAAACTTAGAATTCACGCTACTTTAATAAAGGTTTCCTACTAAGCGTATCAATTATACATAGTATTGTTATGTACGTTCCCAGTGCCTAGAAGGCATATTTCTATATGCGAGTGCTCATCCCTGCAGGGGAGATCTCCCTTCTTAGCACAGAGGGTGTTTTTGCCACAGTTCCAAGCACACCAACACCAGCTCAGTCTAGGGGATATCCTTTGTGGATATTATTTGCAGAAACTTGAATAGGAGGGGTATATAAAACTTATGTTATATACCTCTGCACTTTTTGTGAAGGAACTGCTGCACTTTATGGACAAATGTATTGATCTGAAGGACATATATGAAAGCAATTAATACACTTAAGGAGTCACAAGTTTATATTATAAATTGCACTTATATAAAGTGCAAATAACTATTTTATATAATTATTTTTAAAAGCTCTGTATATTGTGAGTGATTTTTGATTTAGCACACAAAATTGTATTACAGCAGCTATTTAGTATAGAGGGAGTTATTAGAGCGCATGTGTTTTATGTGTTGAATAGAAGGGGTTTTAAGGATTCAGAATACTCAAATGATATCAGGGATCAATAGTATACAGGATTTATATAACGCCAACAGTTTGTACAGTGCTTTACAATATAAAGGGGGGACAGCGTAATCACAACACAGATCAGTACAAAAGGAATAGTAGGACCATGCTCATGGAGCTTACAATCTAAAGGGAGGGGGAGATGGTACAAAAGATAATAGTTGCAGGGTATCATCTGAAGGAGGTGACATAAGTACAGCTTTTTATGTGGAGGTGGGGTAGGCTTCCTGAATAAATGAGTTTAAGGATCGCCTAAAAACAGGGCAGGAGCTGACCAGACATACTGGGCTAGGGAGAGGTTCTGGAAAAATCCTGGAAGCGAGTGTGGGAAGAGGTAACAGAACTAACTAGAGAGCAAGACATCTTGAGAGAAGCGGAGAGTATGAAAGGGTGGAGAACAAAACTTCTTAGAACAAAATGTCACGGGAGCTGTCTGCACACCCAACACTCTACAGTGAGAGAGACAAAGACAAAGACAAAAAAAAAAAAAAAAAAAAAAAAAACCCCACAATCCAAGAGCAATGTCCTCCAGCAGGTCACTTTAGCAATTATCTCTAGGCCCTCAGCCCAACACAGTTGAGGCCCCCAACTGCAACTCTGGTCTCTCACTAGTTTCATCCCCCCCCCCAGAAACCTTCCTAGCTGAGGAAGAACACTTTGCCTTCCCAAATATTTACCACCTCTTCTGTCACTTTCTGGGCACCCCCCTCATAGGGATTGGCTGGGGTCTGATAAATATTCATAAATCAGTGGCTGACCCTCCTTTTCTATTTTCTCAAAGCTTCTTTCAGAAAGACAACTACTGACATTAAGGAAACCATGAAAGACCAAAATAACAGATCATTTCCCCACTGAGTGCAGTGAAGCCAAAAACTAAATTTAGCCTAACTTCTGGCAGGGCGTTACACATTTTACACACCAGTGTTTAAAGTGAACTAAAGCCATCAATTTCATGGTTTCCCAAAACAGGCTACATTTGCACGGCCAAATAGCAGCAGACCCCAGCAAGGATCAGTGGATTCTTTCTGGCAGTTGTAAAAGTGGCTTCAAACCGTGTACAACCAGCAGCAGCCATCAGATTTGCACTGTATACAAATCAATGGCTGGCGCTGCTACTGTTCACATGTAACCGATCAGCCCACTGCGTACATGAGGATAAAGTCTCAGACTGATCTGGAAGGCAGACAGTGTGCATCCAGGGTCAGCATTTCTGTGGGGTACTGGCCACAAACTGGTTGAAGATAATTAGCCAGTTTGTATGCAGCCACATAACGGAGTGTTGCTGCATCCAGAGCCAACATTTAGCCGCCTCAGAACGCAGCCAACTATCCACAGATATCTGCCCATCTGAATTTTATTTTACATTCAAGAAATGCCATGAATGATAAGACCTTCTTCACACAGGTGATTAGGGGCATACACTGGATTCCAGTGGCAAGAATCAGAATACTGCAGCTGGAATGACAGGTGTATTTAACCACTTGCCTACCGGGCACTTATACCCCCTTCCTTACCAGGCCAATTTTCAGCTTTCAGCACTGCGTGGTCATGCAACATTGTACCCATATGAAATTTTTCACACACAAAAATAGAGCTCTCTTTTGAGGGTATTTACTTGCCGCTGGGGGTTTATTTTTTGCGCGTACAAACAAAAAGCTTTTGTTTCTATTATGAAATGTTGCAAACAGGTAACTTTTCTCCTTCACTGATGTGCGTTGAGGCTGCCCTGATGAGCTGGCACTGATAGTCGGCACTGCTGGGCTGCACTGATGGGCACCGATCATCAGTGCCCTGATTATCGGTGCAGATCCCTCCTCTGACAACTGCCGGTTCTCAGCAGTACTTTCCTCACGCTGTGACAGCGTGAGGAAAGTGAAGTTGATAACCAGCAATTGCATTTCCCGGTGATCAGTGTGTCATTGGATACGGCTGATGACGTGGTAAAAGGCCACTGTGATTGGCCTTTTACCACAGCACATGATCAGCTGTGTTCGTAGGACATGGCGATCACAGAGATCGCTGGGGTCGCACAGGAGAGCGCGACATGACGCCCTCCCAGAACTGGCCGGCCGCAGTGAAGCCGTCATTCAACTATCTGCTGTCAGCAAGTGGTTAACAGTGGTGGCCGCTTAGTCTGTACACAGCAATGACAGGCTGGGAGAAGCCATTGCTGTTTCAACGTATTCACACATG